ATGCCGCCAGTGGCGATCTGGGCCTCGAGCAGGCGGATGCCATGCTGCCTGACAATGAGGTCCTTCTTCATGGCCTGGAAGAGGGAGATGGTGTCGCCCGAGTAGGGGTCCTTGTACCCAGTGACAGCCTTCTCGGCCGACAGCAGCTTCTCATGCAGTTCAGGCCCGACGACACCGGCCTTCACGGCCTCGTTGACATACAGCTTCCGGTTCTTCACAGGGTCGATCAAGAATCCAGTGGCAGCCTGGGCCTCCAGGAGGACCACGGCGGTGCTGGGCCTCAGCAGGTTCCTCTTCATGGCCTCGTAGATGTTCAGCTTCTCCTTGGTTGCCTCCACGTACACACCGGCGATGCAATCGCTGCCGTGCAGGAACCTCCTCACTGCGTCCGTCTCGGCCAGCTCTTTCACCGATTTCTTGCCTTCCTTCAGCTGCTCGTACTGGGCTTTGCTGATGATGTGGGACTCCACCAGCTCACTGGCAGGGACAGGCGCCCGGAGACCACTGAACGTCAGCTTCTCCTGCTTTTTCGTCTCTGCCTCCTCAATGATGGTGATGACGATTTTGATGATCTTCTCGATGGTCACCTTGCCAGTCTTGTACTGCCGCAGGAGCTCGCGCCTGTGCTCCTCGGTGAAGTACTCGGAGTGGATCAGCTCCCAGATGGTCATGGTCCGGCCCTTCATGCTGCCCACAGGCACCTCGACAGTGGCCTTGTTGAAGCACTCCTTGGCCTGGCTGTCGGTGTAGACCTCCTCCTGCTGCAACTGGATGGCTCTGTCCGAGAGGGGCAGCAGGCAGAAGCCCGTCTGCTTGTCGCGGCGGCAGTTCTTTTGCAGCTGGGCGTAGGCAAGGTGCTCCTGGGTATTGGGGAAATAGAAAGCCTTGGCGTCGTCTCGGAGCTCGGACAGAGCCTTGTTCATCTCCGGGTCCAAGTAGCCGCGCTCGTAGGCCACCTCCAGCGGGAGCCGGTGGCTGTTGATGGGGTCGATGATGCCGCCAGTGGCCAGCGGGGCGCCCCGCCGCCGGCC